CATAATATCCCATGGAATCTCACTGAACATCAAAACAGAGATTTTAGAGGTCTCAGACCTTCTCTTTAACCTTCAAAAAGGTAGTGTCCTATTGGCGTCTTTACTATCCCTCCAGAATATACCGGAGTTCTCAACTTGCTAGTTCCCTGTCTGAGTGAACAGAACTTTTTTCAGAATTGTGATATGCATAGAGAATTCATAGTCCTTACTTTGATCTAATTGTCTTTTAATATCTGAGTTCTTGCTCTTCTGTTTATAATTCATTTCTGACCATTGGACAAATCTCTCTAGTCCTATCTCTATAGGTCCTGCTTTCAACTCATGTGATCAGAGAACTTTCTCACTTTGGCTCTTGGTGGATATGCTACCTTAGGCAGGTGCTGGACCTTGATGGGCATCTTACAGTTGTAGCAAGAAATGCTTCACAAATGGTATCTGATATGGTGTAGTTAAGATTGATCTTAACTATAGTCTAATTAAGATTAATTCATAAAAATTCATTGCTTAGAAATAATTATCCACTGACCTCAAGTCAACAAAAGTCTTTTTTTCTAATATGAAAACATGTAATTGTTTGGAGGGAGGGGGAACAACTTGAAATAAATTAGAAAACACCTCCACATTAATCATTCTTTTCATATACCTCAAATTTGTACTTAATGTCTTTCTCCTCCTGGACATCAGAAAGAACACCTGGGTATACTGGGGGAAGTTTATATTTTTCCAAATCAATGTCTGGAAAAAATGTGTCACTTTCAAATTCCTGCATAATCCTTGTCACAAATATTCTAAGGTGGCCTGGCTTCTTCATGGTTTCCTTATAAACCGAACTGCCTCCCACGATCCAAACCATGTCCACTTTATATGCTAATTCTGATTGCTCAATAACTTTTAAGGCATCATCCAGATTTTTGGCAAGAAAAATGAGCTTCTTGGGGAGGTTCCGTAAGGTCTCAACCGAGAACTAAATTAATTCTTTCCTTTTAAGGTCGATTCTTCCTAGGAATAGAGAACTATTCTTCCTACTCATAATCACTAAATTTTGTTTATGTTCTATGAGGAAGATGCGGTCATTCTTTGGAAATACTGTACCTGAATTCATTCCTAAGCGGGGGCTACAGCACACCCCCGTTCTTGCAGATGCGCATGTTCTGGGACACAGCGACAGTGTAGTTTAGGGCAAGAACCATGACAGCTGCTGTAAACACCTCTGAGCTGGCTCACTATCCTGGGATTCCCCGCCCTTCGCCAAGCTTGGTGATATATTGTCTCCTTGGACTCTAGGCTTTTAGAAAAAAATTGAAAACTAACCAATTTGGGTCCTAGATATTTTAAGAGAAATAAAGTATCTGTGAGTATTTTTATTGGAAGCTTCAAGGATTAAAAACAATCTGGATGCTTTGGAAAGCTATAAGGAGGACTGATAGAAAAAAACCCCTGGTAAATAGAATTTAAAAAAAAGTTTAATCATGTATCAAGCATTTACTATGCACTAAATTTCATACATCTTCTCTCATTAGTTGGATTCAGAGTTATTTGTCCACTTTCGTCCTTCAAAACAAAAATGATTTAAACGTCTATGAAAGGAAGGAGGTATTTCTATCTTTATAGCACAGGCCTAACTGAAGACCACAGTAATGTGAGATTTCCCCACCCCCTTGGGCCACTTCCTTTTTTTACTGTTTTCACAGTAAAAACAGAGGACTCTTGCTGCTACACAATGCCATAGTGCTATCTCAAAGGGCTTTCTAGGTATCCTTGCTGTCTGAAAGTGTGCATGTCATTTGCACCATCTGAAGAGTCAGTGAGCATGTGAGATTGAGTTCTTGCAGAAGCATGCCCTGAAACCAGAATTTGGATGCTGTGACTTATAAAGAAAGGGCTTCTAGGAGAAACCAATAAGCATTAAGGGCGTGGTGCAGAGAGGAAGTGAGGATAGATAGGGAATGGGAAGAAGCCAAGTGAAGGGTGATTTCAGAAATTACACACTCAGCCTGGTCCCATGGGAGCTCTAGAACAAAAGAACACCCCTCAAAGTTAGTTCTTCCTTGAAGCAAAGGAACTGGGCTTTGGTAGCTCACATGAGCCTATCTTTGGATATAAGCTATAGAGTGTGTAGTGGGATGAAACATTAAACTCCCAGGTACTTCCAGCTCACTCTAGTGCCTGATGGTAATCTGCAGGGCTAGGATAACGTGCAGGTGATAGCTGTTAGCAGCAAGATATGAAAAAGCTGGGTATGGACTCATTGAGTCTGGGTGAGGCATCAGTCTGCTACTGCAAGTTTCCTGTTAACTTTCTCTGCAGGGCCCACAACACTGCAGTCCCAAACTTCCATTGAAAGTTCAAAGTTTTGTAACACCTGGGTGGCTCAGTTGGTTGACCGTCTGACTTTGGCTCAGATCATGATCTTGTGGTTTATGACATTTGAGCCCCATTTAGGGCTCATTGCTGTCAGCCTGTCAGCATAGAATCCATTTGAGATCCTCTGTCCCCCTCTCCCTGACCTTCCCTTGTTTGTATTCTCCCAAAAATAAGTATTTTTTAAAAAATTCAAAGTTTCGGGGTGCCTGGGTAGCTCAGTTGGTTGAATGTCCAATTCTTGATTTTAGCTCAAGTCATGACCCTGGGGTCTTAGAATCAATCTTTTCATCAGGCTCCATGGTGAGTGAGGTGTCTGCTTAAGACTCTCTCTGTCTCTCTCTCTCTTTCTCCCTCTCCCCGGCCCATGCTCTCTCTCTCTCTCTCTTAAAAAAAAAAAAAAGTGTGAATGCCATTGAACTCAGATCTGAGTTTGAATCCTAATTCCACAAAAGAAATGGAAGAAATAGTTATTACTGGCTTGACTTTTTTTTTTAATGTTTATGTATTTATTTTGAGAGAGAGAGAGAGAGAGAAAGCGAGCACACGTGTGAGTAGGGAGTGACAGAGAAAGAGAATGAGAGACAGATTTCCAAGAAGGCTCTGGCTGTCAGGGAGGAGTCAGTCAAATGTGGAGTTCGATCTCAGGAACCATGAGATCATAACCTGAGTTGAGATTTGGAAGCTTAACCCACTGAGCCACCCAGGTGCCCTCTGGCTTGACTCTTTGTCACCAAATCCATAAAATGGGATGATTATTTTTATATCATAAAGCTTATTCAGTTACTTGATCAATCATTCATTCAATAAATATGGAGTATCACCCCATACCAGACACTGTTCAAGACTTGTTCTGAGGAGATGGTGGTAAGAACTCTGTAAAATGTAAAGCTCCAGGCAACTGCTTTTACTTGTAGTGGTTATTTATTTTCATATCTTACTAGAGCAAGTAAAATTACCTAAAACCATAGCAAAGAGATAAAAGGGAAACTTTTTTGGCTCTGAGCTGGTGGAAAAAAGAAAGTATGCCTCTACTCTTTTCCATGAAGGGTTTTAGCTGAAGTCTCCACTCATTCTGTATGGTGCCCCTCAAAGGGAAGCCTGCTTTCTCCTGGAAGTCTCAGGATTTCTGTGAATGATCTTGCTCGGAGAATTTACAAACTGCATTCTCAGGAGCTTCTAGCCCTGCCTCTGCCACAGGTTACCCACTTCCAAATCTCTTAGTTTTTCCTGGCCTCAGTTTTTTAACCTGTAAAATGAAGGGTTCTGCCACTCACGTGATAGCCCAGTAAGCAGGTCACTTGAATATACTGGAGCCTTATTTGTTACATTTCTATGGTGGGGAGTCAGTACTCATGCTAAGGCTTGGTGGACAGAGGTGAGTATAGGCCCTAGGACTCCACTGCAGATGAGAAGTTGCAACTCCAACCAGATCTAACACTTCCCCCATCCCATTTTCCCCAATACCTCCTTTTTATAACTCTTCACTGTTACCTCTTTACTAATTTGATTATGAAGGTTAAGCAATTTAGTATGTGAATGCTCTAGTCTGGCTGTACTGGATGGTGTATGAGGTGCAAGATGCTTGTAGCTGGCCTAGGACCTCTGTAAACTATGACAAGAAACACTGAGAGTTGCACTATATCAATGGCTCAGACTCAGATATGGGATTGCTGGCTGTGGTGTGATTATCTAAAATGGTTAGAATCTCTACGTAAAATTCCAAATACAAAAACAAAATGAAACAAAAAACCTGAAAACACATCTTCCTTTTAGTTGTCTGGTAGTTGCATTTCTGGAAAATTCAGTGTATATAGTCCTGGCCTGACCCCCTGAACTCGGAAAATCTCTAGTAGAAGCTTCTGTTTCATTGTCAATCTTAATTGGTAGGAACTAAACTCCTAGCAGCTTCTGCCCAGCTGTCAATCTTTCCTTTTAGAAACAAACTAACAAATTGCTAGGACTGAAAAAGAAACATTTGAGGAAGATGCCTACCCAGAGGATTGAGAAAGGGTCTAACAGTTACCTCAGCCTCAATATAATGTTAAAATCCCCTTCTGGATATTTATTCCACACCTTCATGAAAGGAGTTTACTTTCCCTGGTTCAGGGAGACACAGCTTTGGAGATGATTCCCCATGATCTCCTTGTTTGTACAAGTAAAGTTTACCTTGTGAGGAAACTCCACTTGGTGTAGTTGCTGTCTGTAACTTAGCAAGGACTGGGCCCACTTTGGTTCAGTAAGCTTTCTGGCAGAGTAAATAGTCAAAACATATCCAAGAAACAAAATAATTGAAAAATAAAACACATTTTTACATGTAATTATAAAGCCCAGATTATAAAACATATTCTTCATACACTGAGAGATAGAGACAATGTGTGTGTGTGTGTGTGTGTGTGTGTGTATGTGGGGGGGACTGGGGCCCCTTGCCCTCTGCCCTTATACGTCTGTAGTGACCACCAAAAACAGTCGTGTTAATTTCCAAAACTTTTAGAGAAGGCTACTGCCTCTATTGAGAACCACTTTTCCAGAGAGTGGGGAATTGCTTATCTAACAAGAGGAAAACAACAATCGGGTGGATGCCTCCTTTTGGTCAGTAAACAGGAGCCTGGAGAAAGACGAAACTAAAGACAGGAAAGTCCCCTTTTCTAACCTGGAACACGGGCTTTCCGCCCAGAGACTGGTGACAAGCTACCATGGGCTCGGATTGTGATTGGGTCGTTGAGAAACTAAAACAAAACAGCGGGAGGGAAAGGAGGGAAAACCCCAGTGCTTTCTGCCATCAAGTGGATAACTTGCCAGAAACCCCTCGCTTCGTGACCTTGGGTGTGTTTGCTGAGCGCCGCCACCTGCCGGAGGGAGTTCACGGTGAGCACCGCGGTCCCGCGACGCCCCCTCCCTCTGCTGATCTCCTTATCCACTGGGTCTCCCTGGTTCTGAGGCTCCTTGGTTCTTCTTCCCAGCCCAGCGTAGCCAGGAACCCGGGTTCGGCTCGCCCAGGCTCCGTCCAGACGCGACAGAGAAGCAGCCGAGAGGCTGGAAAGCGGCGCGTGGCTGGAACGCCCTGTCCTGTACTCCCGGAAAGCTGCCTGGGCAGGACTGGGCTGGACAGGACAAAATAGCGAAGTCATTGATGATGTACGTGGGGGTATAGGGGGCGGGGGTGGGGTGGGCAGTGCCTTTCCGGCACTGTGAGATGTGCCTCACTCTCAGGCACAGAGTGAAGGGGGAAGGGCAGGCCCGTTGTGAAAGGCAAACACTTGAGGGTGGTGATCTGGTGAAAAGCAGTTACCTGTGGGGTCTAAGAGGAGAATTGCCTGGGTAAGTAGGTCGGTGCTTCCGGTGGAGATCTGAGCACTGTGCCTTCCTTAGGGTGCCCTGCTTTCCATTTTCCTTTAGGGTTTCACACTTTCCCACCAGGTTCTAGGGCGTGTCTAAATCCAGATAGTATCACATTGTTTTGTGTAACATTTCTATGGCAGCTTATGTGTTTGTTTTGGTACAAGCTTTATTGAGCTATACTTCACAAACCATACAATTCATCAATTTAAAGTATACAATTCGATGAGTTTTAGTATATTCACAGAGTTGTGCAAACATCACCTCAAGTTTAGAACATTTTCATTGTACTCAAAAGAAACCCTTTACCCATTAGCAGTCACTGCCTATTTCTCCTCAACATCCCAGGCCTAAGGAGTCACTCACCTTTCTGTCTCTATAGATTTGCTTATTCTTGACATTCCATATAAATGGAATCACACAGTTTATCGTCTTTTGTGATTGGCTTCTACTGCTTAATATGTTTTCAAAGATTATCCATATTACAGCAAGTATCTGTGCTTTATTCATTTTTATTGCTTAATAATACTCCATTGTATTCGTATACCATTCTTTTGTTTATCCAAATGGGCATTTGGGTTGTTTCCACTTTTGGGCTATTATCAATAATATTACCAACATTCATGTATAAATTTTTTATTTGGACAGAAGTTTTCAATTCTCTTGGGTATATACGTAGGAGTGGAGTTGCTGAGTCATACGGTAACTCTGCTTTTAACCATTTGAGGAATTGCCAGACTGTTTTCTAAAGCTGCGACACCATTTTACATTCCCACTAGCACTATATGAGAATCCCAATTTTTCTACACCATCACCAACACTTTTTATTATTTATTTTTTAAATCATAGTCATCCTAGTGGGCGTGAAATGGTATCTCATTATAGCTTTAATTTGCATTTCCCTAATGATGACCGAAGATGCATTACTTTTAAATTACAAAATAATTTTTAGAAAGGATTTACATGCTGAGGTTTTGTGAACTTTAACCGTCTATGTCATGTGTCCAACATAACAGAGCCTGGGCCCAAACCAAGTCTTCTTAAGCAAATGCTTGAACTCTGTCCCCTCCTCTTCCCTAGAAGAGAATCTGGGACGAAATGCTTCAGGAAAGCTCCTCTTGCTGTCTCTGTTAGAACGGGAACACTGGGCAAGATGAAACTCTGCATGGACTAAATGGTTCATTTCTTATGTGCCATTAGAAACCTAAGTGTGCAGGGCACCTGAGTGGCTCAGTCAGTTAAGCATCTGACACTTGGTCTGGGCTCAGGCGCTGTCTGTGCTGACAGCACAGAGCCTTCTTGGGATTCTCTCTCTCCCTCCCTCTCTGCCCCTCCTCCATGCTCTTTCTCTCTCTCTCTCTCTCAAAATAAATACACATACAAAAACCCCAAATGTGCACAGAACTTACTGGTCTCCATTTTCACTTTGTAAAAAATAAGTGTTTCCTTGAGATCCTGACACTGGATCTTGGATGAAATAGTGACCCTTTCTTGGTATGCAGCACTTTTGTGCTTAAGTGCCCCTTGGGCTTCTCCTGCTTCCCATTAGGACATGGAATAAGGAGATACAGAGTTTAAACTTTGTTTAAATGCATAACTATTATTTTGAATGCATATTTTTCTTTATATATCTATTTTACACTACTATCAGTCTTACTTAGAAATTACCAAAACTTAATTTTTCTTTTTTTTTCAGTTAAAAATTAAGATTGAGTTGTCTTAAAAGTGGTTCCCAGAAGCCGCACAAACCCACCCACCCACGTGGGAACACAGCAGTTGTGGAGGTGGAGACAGGACTGGATCCAGAATCAGAGTTCAAATATACCAGAAAATCTGGGCTCTAAATTCTGTGTAGTCAGAGAGTGACTGACCAACAGCTGTGAGACACTGGGGACGTTACCATTCACTGTAAACTTTGGCACAGATCACTTATTTCTTTGAAGACTGGATCCAGCAAGCACAATGAATACAAGAATGTGCTGTGGTAGCAGGGTGAATTCCAGACAAACCCGAGAATTCCGTACAGCTGGGGAAGGAGGCCCAACGCCTGCGGTGGTCTTAGAAACAGAACTGATAGATCTCAGAGAAAGTGATGAAATAGTTGACCTCACTTGTGAATCCCTAGAACCTGCAGTGATTGACCTAACTTGCCATGACTCTGTTGTGATTACTGAAGAAACGAGGAGGCCAAGAGGAAACAAAAGGTCACTCCAAAGGCAAACTGGCAGCTGTGTGGTGAGCAGTAATGAGGAGTTGATGAGAAACAGAGATGTGTATGTGACCAACGGGTCCTCCCATAATGCCCTGGAAGAAGCAGCTTTAAGATGCACACTACCTGGTTATATCCGGTGTCGAATTTGTATGGATGGGTACTTGGAGATTGAACTGAGTAGGCGACATATTTACTCTACAGAATGTGGCCACATCTTCTGTAGTCACTGCCTCTGCACTTCCCTTAAATATAGTAAAAATTGCCCAGTTTGTTTGAAAAAAGTCAGCTGTCATCAGTACCACCGTATTTATATATGAGGTGTGCTGTATTTGGCTGGATTTTTCCATGTTCTCATGCAGGAACTGTGGGTGGCTGGCATCCTATACACTGGAGCCTTTCAAAAAGGCTCCTTTAAAAATTGTTTTCTGGGGTACCTGGGTGGCTCAGTCAGTTGAGCGTCTGGCTCTTGGTTTTGGCTCAGGTCATGATCTCACAGTTTGTAAGTTTGAGCCGTGCATTGGGCTCCATGTTGACAGTGCACAGCCTGCTTGGAATTCTCTCTCTCTGCCTCTCTCCTTTCTCTCTCTCTCTCAAAATAAAGAAACTAAAATGTAAAAAATTATTTTCTGGAGTATATAAAAAACTTTTTAATTTCTCACACACTATGTATGAGACTACTTCCTTTTGTTTCATGCTTTAAGGCTGGACTTTGGTTGTCATAGTGTGCCAGAGACTAGTGGTTGTCCTCAAAGCAATTTTTCTTTTCTCCCCCCCATAAGAATCAATTTTTAATTGACCACACATGGACATTTTGGATCATGTAAACAAGGGCAACATCTTAGAGTGGTGGAGCAAGTAGATAGAAATAGCCTGGGAGATTGAAAACTTCGCATACAAATTTGGACTTGTACTTGAGAGACAAACTTTATTCTTGTTTAAGTAACCTTATACTAGGTCTTATTTAGAGTAATGGAAACTTTATTTTAATTAACGGACCAGGTAGGGTGCTGTCTCTGGGTTTCTCTGGATTTCCTGATTCTACTGGGATGGAAGGAAGTCAGTCTTTTTTGACTACCTCTCCACCCAGCAGGGTATAGGTGGGTCCATGGGCAGGCACCATGTCCTCGGAGACTCCTGCTGGCCTTTGAAGCCAGTCTGAGGAGTTGCCTAGGCACACGGGAATCTAGAGTTGTGGTTCTGCACTCTCTGACCTGCCAGGCCACAGAGGAGATGCTGTTACCCTGGCTTTACAGGTGTGGCTGCCTCCACCACACTGGTCAGCTAATCAACAAGTTGGCATGCTTCTCTGTTAACAAACACATCACTGCACTGCCATCCCAGCTGCTTCAGGGGCACCGCCCACCTCCCAGCCAAATACACACTAGCTCTTTTTTCTTTTGCAGACGATCACACAGCACTCACAATTCAGCCTGCACTTTAGAACTGGAGAGGATGAGATTTCTACAGTGCTCCCTCCTTTTCCCTCAAAATGACATGGGCAGTAAAGTCTGTTCCTAACTTGCTATGGTTGTAGCAGTGCTGCTCTCCTCCATGGAGGCTCAGTCGTGCCAATGGAACAGTGCCCATCCCTGTGTTGTGTCTGTCTGCGCAATGCATTTTCTGAAATGTTCCATACCTCAGGCTTCAGTTGCTTGATGTGGCACAGGATATGCAAGATAAATGTGGTATGCTCCCTTCTATGTGTTCCTTTGTATATTCTAAAATGAAAAGAGGACAAAAAAGAACATGAAAATGAAAAAGAAATTGAAAAAAAGTTCTAAATATTATCTTTCTACATTTCAACAGATCATTTTATGTATCCCACTTTGGAAACTATTAATTACTCTGTGACATAGCACATAGTATATCAGAAAACTGGCTAATGACTGAAACATCTGAGATGCCTATTAAATACAGATTCTGCTTTTACACATCTTGTTCATGTGATCAGGATAAAGAGCAGAGTCTCTCCAGCTTGACAGCAGCCTTCAACCCTCCCTATTGTATTCTGCCTAGCCCACTACATATTTCCCTTACCTGCCAAGCTCATGTAGACATTTGAGTTTTAGACTCTGTTTTCAGGGGAAAAAATAGAGGGGATTCTATAAAAACAAGATAAATGTTATGGACAACAACATGTACTGATCTTAAATGTATAATTAGATGCATTTGGGCAAATATATACTTCATAATGATCAACACCTCAACCAAAATACGAAATAATTCTGTTATTCCAGAAAGCCCCCTTATGTCCCCTTCTAGTCAATCCCCACCTCTCCAGGCAACCACTGTTCTGATTACTGTCATCATACAAGCATCCCACATGCTTGGGAACACTGACTTTTATTACTTCATTGTCTAGCTCAGCTCATCATTGAGGGATTTGGAGCGTAAGCACTAGGAAGGGGTTAAATGTTTCAGTGGGAGCATGACTAATATTATCTTTTTCAAGAATTGAAGCCAGAAATAAATCAGTCAGAGAAAGACAAATACCATGTGATTTTACTCATACGTGGAATTTAAGAAACAAAACAGATGAACATATCTGTTCAAAAAAAGAGAGGGGCAAACCAGGAAACAGACTGTTAATGATAAAGAACAAACTGAGGGTTACTGGAGGTAGGTAGGTGGAGGATGGGCTAAATGGTGATGGGTTAAGGAGGATGATGTAGTGGGTGTTGTATGCAAGTGATGAATCACTAAATTCTATACCTGGAACTATATTACACTGTATGTTAACTAACTAGAATTTAAATAAGAATTTGAATAAAATGATATTTCTTTTTTTCTAATTTAAAATTTTTGTTTATTTTTGAGAGACAGACAGAGCATGAGCAGGGGAAGGGCAGAGAGAGAGGGAAAGACAAAATCTGAAGCAGTCAGCACAGAGCCCAACACAGGGCTCAAACCCACGAACCATGAGATCATGACCTGAGCCAAAGTCAGTCACTTAACTGAGCCACCCAGGGGCCCCTAAATAAAATGATACTTCAAAACAAAACAAAAAAGAAAAGCCATTTGTGTAGACAGCTATGGGCACAATAACTATTAATAAGTTTAATTGAATGTAAAAAAAAAAAGAATTGAAGGAAGAAAGTGTCATTAATAATGACACTTGCCATTCATTAAGTCATAGTTGTGTTCCAGGCACAGTACTAGGCACTTCACACATCACAGGCAGTGAATGCATACATCTAGGCAAGAGTAGGAACCCAGCAGGATGTAAGCAGAACTGAAGGGAGCTGCCACAGGGCATATTAATGTGAACAAGTTGGCTGATTATTATATATATATATGGTTGTGGAAAGAAGTGAGAAGTAAAGAAAAGAAAAATTAAGGCCACATTGTGGATAGAGCACTCTTTGCTGTGTTATGGAGTTTAGAGTTTATTCTATAGGTGCTAAGGAGCCATTAAAGGCTCTGAAAAAAAGCCTCAAGAGAAAGATTCTTAAGGATTCAACATGACCTCAGTGAAGGCCAAAGATGCTGTTTGAAAGTTGAGGGAAAAATATGAAAGTGGAATTAAGAAGGGAAGATCCTGCTGTTGACTTTCCTCTCAAAACAGAAGTGAATTTTATGAAGTGTATAAGAAAAAGGAAGGAATCTTGGTCTGAGGAATTTGGTAGGCCACTGTACTCTCCTGCTCTCAGAGGTCTACCAGTTTCATTTCATTTATTTATTTTTTAATTGGCAGATGATTATTTATTTATTTTCCTTCATTTATTTATTTTTATAGTTTATTGTCAAGTTGGTTTCCATATAATACCCAGTGCTCATCCCCACAAGTGCCCTCCTCCATGCCCATCACCCATTTTCCCCTCTCCCCCACCACCCCCAGCCCTCAGTTTGTTCTCAGTATTTAAGAGTCTCTCATGGTTTGCCTCCCTCTCTCTCCCCAACTATTTTTCCCCTTCCCCTCTCCCATGGTCCTCTGTTACGTTTCTCCTGTTCCACATATGAGTGAAAACATATGGTATCTGTCCTTCTCTGCCTGACTTATTTCGCTCAGCATAACACCCTCAAGTTCCATCCACGTTATTACAAATGGCCAGATTTCATTCTTTCTCATTGCCATGTAGTAGTCCATGGTATAGATAAACCACATCTTCTTGATCCATTCATCAGTTTATGGACACTTAGGCTCTTTCCATGATTTGGCTATTGTTGGGAGTGCTGCTATGAACATTCAGGTACATGTTTCCCTATGCATCAGCACTCCTCTATCCCTTGGGTAAATTCCTAGCAGTGCTATTGCTGGGTCATAGGGGAGTTCTACTGTTGATTTTTTGAGGAACTTCCACACTGTTTTCCAGAGGGGTTGCATCAGTTTACATTCCCACCAACAGTGTAGGAGGGTGCCCTTTCTCCACATGTTTGCCAGCATCTATAGTCCCTGATTTGTTCATTTTAGCCACTCTGAATGGCATGAGGTGGTCTCTCATTGTGGTTTTGATTGGTATTTCCCTGATGATGAGGGACACTGAGCATCGTTTCATGTGTCTCTTGGCCATCTGGATGTCCTCTTTGGAGAAGTGTCTATTCATGTCTTCTAGCAGTTTCATTTTAGAACAGCCAGCAGAGCTGTGCAAACATTTTGACTTGTGGCAACTCCTAGGAGATGGTGTTTGTTCGAAGGTGGAGCAGCTGTGGAAATTTGGATTTAGCTTTCAGGTACCTTTTTGGAAAAGTAGAAGCTCATTTGGCCAGAGTGGAAGTGGGACTAAGAGAGATGGATATTCAAACTTACTCACTTGAAGCTTGATCTGGCTTTACTATGTTTGCCCTACAGTGAGATAATCTGGCAATGTACATATATCATTTCCTGATGTTCAGTGAGGTTACAGCAGAGATTTCTTGAGCTGTAATATATCTGGATTTCATTAACCACAGACTGAAACTGAAGTATCCAAGAAAAGGATTAAGATTGACAGTAGAGAAGTCAGACTCAAGTTTCAGTAAGGTCCAGTGTTTTCCAATTCTCTAGTCCACACTGAATTAATCCCCACCATAAATATTAAGTACACCTGCCAAGAGAAACAAGTTACTCCCCAAGAATCTAAAATTGTTAAAAAGGATAAACTTTTAGGTCCTTCCCTTAGTTATATCAACTAGATCCCACTGATATGCTATTAAAATCTGTGTACTGGGATGACTGTCCCAGAGTGTTAATAAAGTAAAATAGGTTTCAATGACATCATTATCTTAGTGTCTATCTCTAAAATAGTATTTTCCCTGTGGCAAGAGCCAGAGAGCAACAGCAGCCAACCCTTGCACAAATGCACACAAATTCCCAAGGTTTCTTACCTACTGGCTTCCTTTGGCTTTCCTGATAGCCTCGTGGATACTTAGAGCTGACAAAAGTCTCACGGAGGTACAGGCCTTTGTTTGTAGGTCCTGCTGTCCTAGTCCCTATCCAATATTCCCTGGCTGGGTTGAGATCTGAGGCTAACAGACAAAAGTTGAGCTCTGTTGGATATTCATGATTAGGGACAGCAGGATATTCTGCCAGTCTTATTTATAAATAGTTTTAGGGGTGGCTCAGTCTGCTGAGCATCTGACTTCAGCTCAGGTCATGATTTCATAGTTCGTGAGTTCGAGCCCCGCACTGGGCTTGCTGCTGACAGCATGGAGTCTGCTTTGGACCCTTTGCCTTCCTCTCTCTCTGCCCTTCTCCTGAGTGCATGCTCTCTCTCTCTCTCTCTCTCTCTCTCCCTCGCTCTCTCTCTCTCTCTGTCAAAAATAAATAAACACTAAAAGATCCTACAGGGCATATTCCCTTTTCCTGTGGTTTGGCATGAAGAAGGCATAGGGCCCCAAGTGTGGCTTTGCCAGGAGCACCTACACTCTATAGGGAGGACAGAGGGGCTGCTAGTGTGCTGTGACAGGACAGAGGTGGTGGTTACTCGGATCACTTGGCTCCCTTGTTAAGGAAAGCGCCTTCAGAGAATGAACTCTCTGCCTCTCCTCTGAATAAGCCCAACCCACAGAGACAACAGCTGTTCTATTCTCCATCCAGAAGAGAGAGGGTGCAGTGCATTGCTGGGCATGGGCTATTCATTAATTCATTAATTCATCTGCTCATTTACCTGGTATTTATTAAATTTTGATAGTGTGGTAGGCCTGCGGAATTAAAAAGTTATCCATCTTTTTAAGACAGTCCTTTCCTCCAAGAAGCTCACAGCTAGTGGAGAATAGATGTGAAAAATATTTATAATACAATGAAAGAAAGAATGCAGTATAATAATAGCTATGATAGAAATATCTGCCAGGTTCTAGCTGAAGCATAAAAGCAGAAATAACTCTGACTTCTCAGTAACTTCCTTGGAGTTTAGAAGATGGAAACTTGAATTTCTTATTTATATTCAGCTCTGCTGGGGTCCTTGAAGATTAATATCTACTTACATCTCTTGTTACATTTCAAGACAGAAAGTTAATTTGAGGGAGAGGATTTGTAAACAACTTGCTATACCAGTGTTAGCACAATGACAATAATAGAAGCTAGTACCATTTATTGGGTGCTCCCTATGTGACAGGCACCATTAAGTCCATTACATACATCATCTCATTTAATCCTCACAACAATCCTATGAGGTATTATTGTCTCTTTTATATATGATAAGATTGGGGCTTGGCAAAAGAAAAGTAACTTTGCTTCATAACTTTGTTTTTGTTTTTCTTTTCCCCCTACAGATTACATGGTAAAACCTGGTATGTATAGTTTCTTAGATGTCATTGCCGGCTGCTTAACCCCAACTTTGGTTTTAAAATAATGAAATAAAAACCTGAAGTGCCCCTTTGTGAGATTTGGGACCTCATACTATATAGGTTCTGGCATCACAAACTTTAGAGGTAGAAGGGGAGTCTTAGGAAGTCACACTTTATAGGAGGAACTAATACCCAGAGGAGTTCAACATTTTAGCTGTTATTCAGTGCTCTGGGTTCTTTACTGGGAGAAAGGGCTTCTGTCTTCTAGGCCAGTAAGTATCTTGCCCCAGGCCTACAGGCTCAAGGATGTGGAGACTCTAGGATTTAGTATAATCATCTTTACTAAATGCTGTTAAGCATTTCAGCCAACAACAAAAATATTCAACATGGGGGCGCCTGGGTGGCTAAGTTGGTTAAGTGTCTGACTTAGACTCAGGTCATAATCTCACAGTTTGTGATTTCAAGCTCCATGTTGGGCTCTGTGCTGACAGCTCAGAACCTGGAGCCTGCTTTGGATTCTGTGTCTCCCTCTCTCTCTGCCCCTCCCCTGCTCGTTCTCTGTCTCTCTCCATCTTTCAAAATCAAATAAAAAAGTGCTTTAAAAAATGAAACAAAATTAATTTTTTAACTTAGGAACATAATTCCTAGCTCATCATCAGAATTTCATAGCCACTTATTTGATAAGGTGCTTTATCCAACAAATGCCACGTACTGTCATGGTGAGCAAGATAGCACTACCCAGTAGTTGTTTACAATTTAGTGAAGGGGCAAACATGAAATCAAACAAACTAATTATGAACAGGTAGGTATGTACAAAGATCTAGGCTGTTATAGAAATGTGTAAAGCACTGATTCTCAGCTGGGAGTTAGTTCTACCCCTATACACCTAGCAGACATTTGGCATCTGGAGACAATTTTGATAGTCACAACTGGGGGTGGGGATGCTACTGGCATCTAGTGAGCAGAGGCCAGAAATGCTGCTAACCATCCTAAAAATAACAGGACAGCCCCCCACAAGAAAAACTTAGCCAGCTCAGAATGCCTGTAGGGCTTAAGTGGAGAAACCCTGGAATAGAGCCAGCAAAATATTTTCTACAGGGGATGGGGTAGAGGACAAGCTCAGGGGGGCTGGTTATGGAAGAGTTTACTAAAGAGATAATGATTAGGGTTGGGAGAGAAAGGATCCCCAGTAGAAGGGACATGTGCAAAGCCACATACCCTGGCATATTTGGGCAATCCCAAACAACAGAGGAATAGTTGCGTGCATTAAGACTGGACAGGAGGCATTCCATAGGAGCTAGACATTCAATAAAATCTATTGAGTTAGAGAAAATCTGGTTCCGTGATGGCTGTTAATAAGTTGGTCACTCAGGAACACAATATAGGTACAGATCTCTGTGAACTAAAACTGCTCAAGAAAGCTGTTTTAAATGAGGCTTTTCTCATCTTGGTTCCTTAGGTCCTAGGATTTCCCAGGTATTTGTTACTTACTCAGAAATAGAGTTGGGGCTGTTTCAATGGAATGTGAGCTGAGAGGTGGGATTGGTCTTTTTTAAAGCCACTCAGGTGGGGTCTCAATACTGAGATCACAAGAAGAGATGATCTGGTTATTCCTCATGCATTCTGCTTATAGGCAGATGATGATGTTTATTTCCTCCTTCACAGAGAATCCCAGTCCAGAAATGGGAATATGTGAACCTTAAGATTAGACTGCCACCTTGAATCTAAATGAGTTGCCTTCCCCCTCCCCCACACAAAAAAAGGGGGTGAGTGGGTAGGCCATTCCAATCAGGGTATCTCTTTCTCTTAAGCTAATGATGATCAAAGCAACTGACAAACTGCCGCGGAATCTGCCAGAACTCACTCTGGCCTTGCCCTATCTCCTCAGCTCCTGAGCTTTTCTTCCTTCTGTCATGCTCTGAGACCATTCTTAGCAAATTACCAGGGACCTGATTCCTGATCTGCAGTTATCCTGGGCCTGTTGTGGTTTGATCCAAGTGCCTGTTTCCGTTCCCTGGTGGCCCAATGATAGAACTGAATGGAGGTGAGTAACCCTTCCTTAACTCAGCTAATTTTCTAGACATAGTGTGGAAAACTGGATCACAGAAGGGAGTATGGATTTTACAGTATGAAAGGAAATTCAGGGAACTATTTAATTTGTGACAGATTATAGCTGCTTTACTCTCTTCAGATATTAGAATAACTGAGAATTTGGATAATTTAACTGAGAATTTAGAGATTGGTAGGCAAGAAATGATACCCACCATAAATTTTTGATAAAAATTAAACTAAATTCTATATAAAGTTTACTTTCTTTATTAACTAATTTAGTTTTTTATATTCTAAAGATTGCTTTATTTCAGTATGCATGGATCTATTCCATCCTTTTCCTTTGAAGTTTAATTCTAGTATAGTTAACATGTAGTGTTATTCTAGCTTCAGGTGTGCAATATAATGATTCAACAATTCTGTATGTTACTCTGTGTTTATCAAGATAAGTGTACCTATTTCACTCATACTAATGACCTTATTTTATTTTATGTTTATTTATTTATTTGGGGGGGAGGGACAAAGAGAGAGGGGAGCAAGAATCCCAAGCAGAATCCCTCTGCACTGAGTGCAGAGCCTAATGTGGGTCTTGAACTCATGAACCATGAGATCATAACCTGAGCTGAAATAAACAGCCAGATGCTTAACCAACTAATCCACTCAGGTACTCCTAATCACGTTATTTTAAATTGAAAAAATTTATTATGTATAACTTGGTTTGCTAGTAATACTATCACATTTTATATTTTATATTTATAGCAGAATTGATTCTCATAGGTGTTAAACATTTTTTTGTCTTCCAGTTATTTTATTTTATCTCTAACTGTATCTTCCAAAATTGACTAATGAATTAAATATATATATTTTTTCACTACAGTGAGGTCTCGAGTTATTTATGCCTGTTAGAATTCTGAAAAGTTATAAATGGAATTAGCATTAGCTAAGATATCATTGTTTAAATTTTAATTCCAGTATAGTTAACATACAGTGTTATATTGGTTTCAGGTGTACAATACGGTGATAGGACAATTCTGTACATTACTCAGTGCTCATCACAATAAGTGTACTCTAATCCCCTTTGCCTTTTTCCCCTATCTCCCCGCCTACCTCCTCTCTGGTAACCACCAGTTTATTCTCTGTAGTTAAGAGTCTGGTTTTTGGTTTGTCTCCTTTTTCTTTGTTCATTTAGTTTCTTAAATTCCACATATGAGTGAAATCATATGGTATTTGTCTTTCTCTGACTGGCTTCTGTTGGTTAGAATCATACCCTCTGGAATCCATCCATGTTGTTGCAAATGGCAAGGTTTCATTCTGTTTCATGGCTAAGTAATATTCCATTGTGTATACATACCACATCTTCTTTATCCATTCATCTGTTGATGAACATTTGGGCTGCTTCCATAATTTGACTATTGTAAACAGACACTGCATTTAAGATAGGGGTGCATGTATCCCTTTGAATTAATGTTTTTGTATTCTTTGAGTAAACACCCCAGTAGTGGAATTATTGGAACATATATGGTAGTTCTGTTTTTAATTTTTTGAGGAATCTCCATACTGTTTTCCATAGTGGCTGCACCACTTTGCATCCACACCAACAGTGCACATGGTTTC